CACCCGCCGGCTCTCAAAAGACCTAATCCTTTTATGTGAAGTTTCCCGGCATGCAGCAGATCTGGTAAAAATGTCGTTTCAATTTTTTTTTTCTAAAAATTTTTTATGATAATTTTTTTAAGAAATTAATTTAATTTTTTATATTTACGAGTCATTCTTCTTTCTCTTAAATTCCTTCTATATCATCTAAAATCTCTCCGGCGTCATATGCTTGCAATTGATTACAAGAAATTTGAAAGATGTAAACATAGTTGCTCCCTTCAAAAACCGCTTTCGTTGTAGGCTAAAGTAGGTTTCCGCTCTATTTGTCTTGCCGAGTTTGATTAGAAAGTAATGGAGAGTGCTAAATCTAAAATTCGGATAGCTTTTGGGTGGCTAGTTAATATCAAGGTTTAGGTGTTTAGAATGTAAATTTGTATGTTTTAAATAATAGGCATGTAAAAACCCTAGAATAAAAACCCTTAAATTACGTAAAACATTAAAACTGATGCCTATAAATTAGAAATTTTAAAAATATGGCAAAAATCTAATTTCTAATGTTTGTTAGACTTTATTTTTAAAATATATTACCAATTCCATATATTCTACTTTATTTTCACCTCTTCTTTGCTAGCTCATATTCCAATCATCTATAAGATACTTTTACATAAAATTTATAGTATATAGGAGTACAAGGTAATGGAGGATTTCAAAACATGACATATCTAGCAATGATTATTCATGAATTACAATAAAAAATAATTAACATTAAAAGCATCAATCACATCAAGCTTTAATTTATGTGTAATTTATATATTTTCCTTTACACATGCCACGGACATTCGCACAAATGCATATTAAAGCTAATGTTGCATGTTGGGGATGATTGATGGGAATTTTTCTTATACTTTTACTAGGGTCTCGATCCAATTAAAATCAAAACCACACCATGGAATAAGATCACACAAATTCGAGATAACCGGTACAACATATTCGAACGAAAGAACAATGAAATAATTCTAGAAAAAAGCACACCAAGATTTAAAATAGAAAAACTTAAGAACAAAGAAAAATTCACAGAGACAAACACAATAAATTTTCACTATGGAATTCAGAAAAATACTTAGAACTCACAAATATCACCTCTCTACAAGCAATGGAACTTAAATGACTTCACTCCAAATCCTTCCTCTCAATCCCACAAGAGAAACACACGCTTAAATCCTCCGCTTCAACCCTTCTACACTTCACAAAAACCTTATCAAAGAAACGCACGCGCAGAGATTATGGCTTCATCGCTCGAATCAATGGCTTTAAACTGAATAGGCGGTGTGTCTACATCTGGCATGCCGCACTATTCTTTGGCATGGGAATGTCGCGCCCTCTGTAGTCGAGCGCATATGCGTCCGAACAGCGGCGCGGAAGCATTGTTGACATTGGCTCAGGGGCATCGCTCCCTCTGTCTGCAAGCACAGGCACGTCGCTCAAGCGCATGCACCACGCCCGAATACCGCTTTGTTGTTGTGTTCTAGCCATGCTTCCCGCGACTAGGTGTGCTCATCCAAGCTCCACAGCATAATAATCTCTCACTTCGAGACTGATACAACCCAACACCAATTCACCACATCTGCACCTACATTTGTATCATCTTCACAATCACATATCATGGTGTGGCTCATCCCTGGCCTTAACATTCTTGTACTCCAATCAAAGCCAATCATAGCTCCAATTTTTCGATAATCACCACATTCATCAATATGTCTGCAGAATTTTGAGTTGTGTATCTTCTCCAAGAACAATTTCTCATCATTTAGGAGAGAGCATATAAAATGATATTTCAATTATGTGTTTTGTCTGATATGAAAAAGAACATTCTTAGCATGATGAATTGTGTTAATATTGTCGCTATAAAGCTTTACAATCCCCTGTTATTCGCCCAATTTTGTCATAAAGCTCTATAGTCAAATCGTGTCATTACTAGCCTCAGTAATGACAATGTATTTGACCTCAGTTGGCGAAAGTGCAATAAATTTCTACAACACTGAAACCCAACTCACCACTGCGTTCTCCAGAGTGAAGATATCAGGTTATACTCCTACCATCCAAGTCTTTTATTAGATCTGAATCTACAACTCAAAATAAACTGATCCCTGCACTTCCATAGCAAAGTGTCTTGTTGAGTGTTCCTCTAAAATACCTAAGAATTCACTTCATCGCCTCCCACTAGATTGCCCACGTACCTATTGAGCACTCTTACTGCAAATGCAATATTTGGTTTAATATAAATCATAAGCATACATCAAATTGAAGCATACGGAGTTCTCCCCATCTGTGCATGCTCTGCTTCTGATTTAGGTGATAACTATTTAGATAGTTTAAAGTGACTACTTAAGGGGGCGCAAACTAGCTTTTACCTAACTCATATTGAACCTCTGTAGAATCTTCTCAGCATATACTGCCTCAGAAAACTTTAGTGTGTCTGCACTCTTGCCCCTGCCGATTTCATGTCTAGTATTTTTATGGTTGGACCAAAATGTTTCATCTCAAACTCATAATAATTGATTCTTTATGTCTGATTTTCTTCATATATGTCCTTGCAATCAACATGTCATTCACATAAAAAAAAATAAAATATAAAAATTACCAAAGTATTTGATGAAGTAATAGTAGTCTATCTGGCACTTCATGTATCCACTGCCTGACATAAACTGTCAAATCTTATGTACCACTATCTCGGGGTTCGCTTCAATCCATAGAGGCTCTTCTTCAACTTGCATACTAAACTTTCATTCCTTGAAATATGTAACTAGGAGTGAACATTCGATCAGTTCGCATGGATCGACTTTAAAATTGGTCAAACCGATTACAACTGAAATTCAGAATTCGAAGAACTAAACCAATCAAAATTTTAATAATAACGAACCAACTGAACCGAAATTTTATAAAGTTTAAACAGTTCGGTTATTAAAAAACCAAAATTTAATTCCTTATTGAAAATTGGCTAAGAACAAGTATTACGAATTACATATCTTAGCCACATAACATTGATTTAATTTCAAGAATCCTCTATTTATTCCAATCAAATATTAAAAATAATAAAATTTTGATTTTTTAAATTTATTCTATATGAAATTAAAATAAAATAAGAATTTTAAATAAAATTTGGTTCTTTGGTTTGTTTGGTTAAATGAAAACAAAAATCAAGCCGAAAACCGAATATTAGAATTTTAAAAATAAAAAATCGTAATTCTATTTTTGAAACCAAACCGAACTAACCAAATTTGATTGGATTTGTTTGGTTTGATTTTTCGGTTTAAAATGAATAATGCACACCCCTACCTGTAACCCTACAGTTGCACTATGTATAATCCCTCCACCAAATCTTCATGTAAGAAAGATGTTTTTGCATTCATCTGCTTCAAATGTAGATTTTCCTCATCTACCAGACTTAGTCCAACCCAGATGATTTTCATATTTACCAACAACAACAACAACAACAAAGCCTTAATCCCACTACGTGGGGTCGGCTGCATGAATCCTTTTTTTGTCATTCAAAATTGAAAGCTTCATCACTCTTCATGTAAGAAAGACTTTACAAAAACTTTGTCGAAGAAGTGCACGTGCATAGATTATGTCTTCGTCACTCAAAATTGAAAGCTTAAACTAAATCGGCTGAGTAACTTCACCAGCTGCACCCGCACCACCCCTTGGCATTAGAATGTCTCATCCTCTATAATCAGACACAAAGACGCCCGAGAGCGGCACAGGAGCACTGCAAACACCGGCGTGTGTGCACCACGCCCATTGTCTGCATGCAAGGTTGCGTCGTTCAGTCGTGGTTGCACCTCGCGCGAATACTACTTTGTTGTTGTGTGCTGGCCCTGCTTCGCGTGGCTATGGGTGCTCATCTAGACTCCACAACATAATACTGCAGTGGAAGTGCAACTTTACTTTTGCTTTATTCATGTGAAAGTAGTTGTGTTCTATCATGTTAATAAACAAATATGCTTTGTAGGTTTTCGGAGCTCTATTGAGCTCTATTCATACGACTGTGGTTTTATCAATTTTTATGGTTCCTTTCTGGTTAGAGAATGCAATAATCGTGTATTGGACAAAATTTGGCTTATTTTTTGGAAGTTCCAATTTTTTGAAATATTAAATTAAAAATGGGTTAACATTTTTATGGTTTGTGTGGGCAGCGAACAAAATATTTCTACATGGGCTAAAATTTGGTTTTCTTTGGAAATTCCAATTCTTTGAGTTTTTAAATTAATTTGGATTAATCTATTTTTAATTTAGTCTGATCTTAGGTCAACCATATCCATTAACCTAGACTATGAGGAGTCTATAAACAGTGGTATTCGGCATGTAATTCACAATTTTTTGCTTGATTATAATATTTCTTCATGTTTTCAATCTTATGAATATAAATTAGACATTTAATTCCTTCAAAACTTTACAAGTGAAACTGTCAAATTCCATGGAAAGTATTTCCATGTAACAATGTGAGAACTAATTTTTTAAAGTTATGGTATTTCGTTTCTTATATATTTCTTCAAATATAATTTCTAATTGAGTAATTGACCACCTCCGTAGTTTTGATCTTGATCGAACATTGATGCCATGAAATCTAATTTTATGAAATTTAATTCGTTCTCTTGTTTTTTTTATTTGTTTTCAGATTGAGGATCAATTTTTCAAATATTTATGATCATCTCATTATCAGTTGAGCTTAAAAATTACTACTGGCTATTTTTATTCAAATAAAGTGGGTTGTTGAATTTGATCGGTAACTTGTGTCCTATGAACTCTGAATTTTTCACCACACAAAAACATGCTACACAAACGTTTGAAACTGCAGTAAAAGATTTTGTTTGAAATATTACACTTATTTTTTAATTCGAAGGCAAATGAATACCCCCGTTAGAAGACCATAATCCTAATATTGGTTATAAAAAACTTTAAAGTTTGCATTCAACATTGCTGAAATGCTAATTCCATTAAATCATTGATTCAAATACCTTAATTGGGTTGGCAACAAAGATTCGGGAGAGGAGATGTCTGCAGTCCTGGGATATGTGGACATGATCAGGAATCTTGTACTGAACTCCTACGATTCTCTGTATTCCAATAAAACTCAAATCAATACATTTAGGGCTTGTTTGGGATCACATTTATCTTTTATTTTCAAAAACATACTATCTAATTTTTAAAAATATTGAAAATATCTAAAAGTTTTTCTTCGCTCGTGAAAAGACATGCTTTTTAAAGGGAGAAAGAATCAGTATTTTGGCGGTCTTGAGGCGTTACCCCAATAGTTTTTCTGAAGTTTTTGGGATCATCAGGATCCTCAAATGGGTAAGCTCCCACCAGCATTACATATAAAGTTACACCACAAGACCAGACATCTGCAAGCTGCAACATCGCAGTAATAATAATAATAAATAAATATAACATTCTTCACAACTTACTATACTTGCAGCACAGAAATATCTGTATTTAATGTGAATCATAAAAAATAGAAAGCATTACAGAACTGGAATCTCGGAAATAGTTATGTTCTATGCAAATTTAATAACTCATGTTAAATATTAAAATCAATAGGTATGCTATTAATTAATAAAGCATAACAAAAATTTAAATAAACACCCCGATCTCCTAGTAGCCTGGTTGTTAAACAATAGCTTGGGCTCTCAAGCTTGGCATGGCTAATGAATAATGACTACCGTTTAGCTGGAACTGGCCAAAGAAAAACTCATTTCGAATAATGAAATGATATAATGGAAAGTTTGAAAAGACAGCCGAACTAATGTTTTGATGGCAAGCTGTGAGATCAGCATGCCTTCTTTCCCATCTATTTAAAGTTATCCAGGAAGCATGGCAAACTATATTCCGCAGGGTAAGATGAGTACAAAGAAAAATTTAAACTTGAGGGAAAAAAATGTTTTCCATTAAATCGGTGAATAATAAAGAACTTCCACTTGGCCGTGTTTGGTAGCATAATTTAAATAGGATTTAGTGATGGATTTAATCAAAAAAATAAAAACTAAATCTAACGCTCCATTAAATCTTTTTTTTTTTTTTGCATTCCGTCTTTTCTTCCCGTGCTTCATCTCTTTTAAGACATTGTTGTGAGATATGTACTTTCTGGCATAGAAATGTGACGAAAAAGAACACAAGCAAACACAGATCATTTATGTGGTTCGATCCAACTGGATCTACGTCCACGGAAGGGAATCAATCAAATAGTTCACTAAGGCAAAAGAAATGGAGAATACATAGCTTATACATAGAGATGAGCCCTCATCTTCTTTCTATGACCTCCCTCTCAAGCGACACCTTGATACAAGGCCTCAAGATGCTCTCCTCCTCTCTAGCTCTCTAGCTATTCTCTCCTCCTCGTGGTAGCTTAAGATCTCTTCCCTTGCTCTCCTAAGCCTCACACCCTCTCTATTTATAGAAGCAAGAGAGTGGTAGGTGGGAGGTAGGTGAGCGATAGGTGAACGGTAGGTGAGATGTGGTAGGTGAGCGGTACCACATTACAAAAGTGCCTTTTTACTTTAGTTCATCAATTGGGGGTCAAAATAACAATTCTTCACCTTGACCCTCAATTGAGAAGCTTTGAAGTAAAGATTCCCTCCACCTAACCCCTGAGAGGCCCTCAGCCCTTGCTTGAGTCTGCTAGGTCCAAACAGTACATGGACTTAGCAATCACGGTTCTTCCGATAAGAGAGTACAACCCCTTTTTCCTGACTCTTTGTATGACGACACGAGGGCCTTTGGTTACTCTGATGCA